TGTAGAGCTGTGGCTCAAGTGGCAGAGTGCTAGCCTTGAGCAAAAAAGGTCAGGGGCATTTTCCAGGACCAACACAAATGTGTATTTGTGAAGTTGGACGCAATTCTGAGCCTCATGGTATGTGTTAGGTATTTTTTTTTTAAATGTTAACCAAGTATTGTTAACTGTTACTAGCTCTAGTAACTAGCTTTTCTTACCACAGTCTGTTGTTAGCGTTCTGCTGTGTATTCATTTCATCTGATTCCAGCTCTAAGGAATATTATATACATTTAATCCCATTTCTTTTCATTGGCTCTCATTCTCTCATGCTGTCACTTCCAACTTGTGCAGCTAAAGCAGAGCCCATGATTATGCTCAGGATAGTATGACTTAAGTCAGGCTGTCTGCTTTCAGTCCTGCCTGTACCACTTGCTTTCTAACCTTGAGCAAGTTACCCAGTTAGGGGCTGTTCACTTCTCTAAAATGAGGATAACAATACTGGAATTGTAAAGGTTTATTGGGTTTGAGATAATACATATACATTGTTCAAAGACAAGAGTGCTTGGCAATATGGACCTATTCTTAAGTCATTGTTCTTTCTTGAAAACTCCAGGTATAATTAAATTCAACTTAGTGTTTGTCCTTGCCACTGTGTGTCCAGAGGTAAATGCCTATACCATCATGGATTTGTTTTGCTTAAGTCCATGAGCATAAATTTTTAACACATGATGTTCCTACCTGATAGTCATAGTAGTGTATTTGCTTTCCTATTGCCATAGGAAGATTTGTTTTTCCTCCCTTTTCCCTGGATAGACTCTAGTTTTGTTATGATTATTTTTTCCTTATTGAGATGACAGTTTCGAAAACTACCAATAACCTACTTCCTGTAACTAGGTCCCACCTCCTAAAGCTTCCAGAACCTCCCAAAATAGGGCTACCAGCTAAGGACAAAGCATCAAATGTGCACAATCCTGAGGAGGAAATTTGATCATTTCAAACCATAACAACATTGATTTTTACATTTCTAGAATATGCACTTCTTTTCTTTTTTCTTTCTTTTTTTTTTTTTTTTTGTTTGTTTGGTGCCGGTCCTGGAGCTTGAATTCAGGGCCTAAGATAAAATGGTAAGTCAAGTCTCATAGACTTTTCTGCCCAGGCTGGCTTTGAACTGTGATCCTCAGATCTCAGCCTCCTGAGTACTTAAGATTACAGATGTGAGCCATTGGCACCTGGGCAGTTGTAGTAATTTTTAAAAATATAAATCTTGTTTTGACAGTTTTCCCTTATTTGTTTTTTCCTTTACATTTCCATTTTTATTCTGTCTGTAAAAAAAAATTGTATATCTTCTTTCACCTTGACATAATCAGTTTTGAACAATACATAAACATTAAACAAAGTCTTGCCATTTTGGTGTGAAAATTAAGAACTGGTTTGATATGTAGTGTGTAAATTCATTAAATCTTTGGAAGAAATGTGCTGTTAAAAAAGAACCAGCCAGGTGCTCACGTCTATAATCCTAGCTGCTCAAGAAGCTGAGGTCTGAGGATCACTGTTCAAAGCCAGCTGAGACAGGAAAGTCCATAAGACTCTTACCTCCAATTTACCACCAAAAAACTGGAAATAGCACTGGCCCAATGTGGCAGAGCAGCACTAGCCTTAAGCGAGAAAGCTTAGAGACAGTGCCCAGGCTCTATGACTGACAAAACAAAAATGAAAATCCCTGTGATAGAGTGAGTCTTGCTGAAGGACATTATACCATCTATTCCTCATTAAGTTTGGATAAATCTTTAGTATCTCTGAAAGCCAGTTTTACAACTAAATGAACTTTATGACTCTGTAAGCATTGTGTTAATCTGTTTCAGCAGTGTAGGTAGATTAGCTACTAATGACTGATAGACCTAAGTCCTAGATACTTCCATAGGTAGATAGAATTGCTTTTCTCCACATACCTGTTTTTCCCCTTCCTCTTTCCCTCTATTCTTTTTTGTATTGTACTAGAATGATTTATTACTTGCCTACATAGGAACTTTGAAATCTATAGATATCTTAAAGTTGAGCCTATTCATTCTTCTGTCTTTGTATCTGTTTTGGTCCTGTTGAAATCATAATAATCTGTGATGTCTTTTAGAAGTGATTAAATTGCCGGGTTTAAGTTGGCTTAGGAGTCTAAACCATTTAACAGTTTTGAAAAAATGGATTGTGAGTATAAAATAATAGCCTTTTAGATCATAAAAAAAATTTGAAGTTTGCCTGCTATATTCAGTTAAATCAAAAAATAAAGTTTTCTTTTCCTGTACTACTAAATTTTTCCCCTTTGCACTGAATCAGCAGAACTCATTTCATGAAATACTCCTTAGTGCTCCTTCCTTTCCTTCCCTTCCCCTTTTCCTTCCCACCTTTCAGATCTCTAATATGATACTAGGCCAGCAGTGCCCTGACCTTGTATCTTGTGCTGGTGTTTCAGATGAAACCATATTGCTTTCCTGTCTGTATGTGTGTGTACGTGTATGTGTACACGGGCACATGCATGCTCGCATGCCAGTACTTGGTCTTGAACTCAGCTTGGATGCTGCCCCTTAGTTTATTCTCTCAAGGCTGACACTCTACCATTTGAGCCACAGCTCCACTTGTGGCTTTTTAGGTGTTTAGATTAGAGTATCTTTTTCATATTTGTCTTCCCAGGCTAGCTTTGAACCAAAACCCTCAGATCTTGGCTTCCTGAATACCTAGAATTACAGATGTGAGCCATTGGTGCCTGCCCAAGATACTTTTTTTTTTTTTTTTTGGAGGTCATGGGGCTTGAAATCGGCCTGGGCACTGCCCTGAGCTCTTCAGCTCAAGGCTAGTGCTCTACCACTTGATCCACAGTGCCACTTGCAGTTTTCTGGTGGTTAATTGGGGATAAGAGTCTCAGGGACTTTCCTACCTGGGCTAGATTTGAACCATGATCCTCAGATCTCAGCCTCCTGAGTAGCGAGGATTACAGGCGTGAGCCACCAGTACCTGGCTTGGTCTTAAGAATTTTAAAGATTATATAGTGATTTTTCTACCCTAATGTATTTGAGTCTAAATAAACACCCCTGTCTTTATGTTGGAGATGCACACCATCTCTTTCTGAGAGATCTTGTTGTATAGTCCATCCAATCTGGGGATCCTCTTACCTTACCCTGCTTAGTTCTGGATTATAGTTGTGTACCACCACATCTGGCTTTCTACCATCACTTTTTTTTTTGGTCGGTTGTGAACTCTGGGCCTGGGCGTTGTCCCTCAGCTCAATGCTAGCGCCCTACCACTTGAGCCACAGCCCCACTTCTGGCTTTTTTCTGCCTATGTGTGCTGAGGAATTGAACCCAGGGCCTTATGCATCCGCGGCAAGCACTCTACCACTGAGCCAACTTCCCAACCCCCATCACTTAAAAATTGTTTTTTGGGGGGCTGGGAAGGTGGCTCAGTGGTAGAGCGCTTGCCTTGCATGCATGAGGCCCTGGGTTCGATTCCTCAGCACCACATAAGCAAAAAGAAAAAAAGCCAGAAGTGGCGCTGTGGCTCAAGTGGTAGAGCGCTAGCCTTGAGCTGAAGAGCTGAGGGACAGTGCTCAGGCCCAGAGTTCAGGCCCCACGACCGGACCAAAAAAAAAAAGAAACCCGTAACAAAAGGATGATCCAATTTTAGGAAGCAAACAACTAAGGATATACATATATGTGTGTGTGTGTGTGTGTGTATATATACATATACATATATATGTGTGTGTGTGAAATTTCAGATTTAGCCTCACTAGTAACCAGGAAAATATATGTTAAAATAGACTTCATCCAAATTATTTCCTTTTATGAGGCAGTGTAGAGGAAATGCTAGCCCAGTGATTCATCACTATAAATTTATTTTTTATTTTATTTTTTTGTCGGTCATGGGGCTTGAACTCTGGCCCTGGGCTCTACCCCTGGGCTCTTCAGCTCAAGCCTAGCACTCTACCACTTGAGCCACAGCACCACTTCCAGTTTTCTGATAGTTAATTGTAGAGAGGAGTCTCACTGGACTTTCCTGCCCGGGCTGGCTTTGAATACCGATCTTCAGATCTCAGCCTCCTGAGTATCGAGGATTATAGGTGTGAGCCACCAGGGCCTGGCCCATCACTATTATTTTTATGGGTCAAAGACTAGAAGTCTCAAAAAACAAGTGTAAAACTACAGATTTTCATATATAACCTGTATCTCATTCCTATACAAAATAGAGAATATGGTCCCATCTTTTTTAGTGTTCATTGCTCAGTACTGGTGCTTGATCTTGGTCCTTTTCCTACTCAAGGTTGGTGCTCTACCCCTTGAGTCACATACAGCTAGTTAATTGGAGATGAGATCTCACTGACTTTCTTGCCACTGCTGGCTTCAAACTGTGATCCTCAAATGTCAGCCTCCTAAGTAGCTTGGATTACAGGCCTCTGCCCAACAGTGCCTGCCTTGCCTGCTCATTATTTTTAATACAATACTTAAAAATGGAAAATAAATTTAAGGAAAAGGAAGAATGGAGTCCTGACCAGTTTCTGATATAACCACAGACTTATCTGCTTTGTTCATTACTGAGTTTTATACCATCTTCCCTTTGTGCATATATATAGATTCAACACAGTTCCCAACATTGAAATATTTCTGATCTGTCAAGTATCTGGTATTTGGGACTGGTAGTTAGATTGCCCTTCCTCCTATCAAAAAAATACTGGTTATTTTACAGGGGATAGGACAATCACAATGTTGTTTTTCTTTAAGATCTCCTCTTAGGACATACTTCATGTTTCCTTGTACACCAAGTCTTATATAATTAAGCATTTGATTTTTTTTAATTGCTTAGTATTTTGTATACAGTAAATTTGTTTGACATTGTTTAGTCATATGCTTACACATTTTTGGTTGTTTTGCTACAAGGTCTCAGTATGTAACATTGGTGATTAATACAGACTTGGTTTCACTTTTTTTGTAAGAGAAAGCTTACTGTTCTTTAACTTTTTTTCCCTGAATATTAGGCAAAATCCTCAATGATGATACTGCACTCAAAGAATATAAGATTGATGAAAAAAACTTTGTGGTGGTTATGGTGACAAAAGTAAGTTTCAGCCTCATTCTGTATGTATATCTTGATGAATGTGTACAAGTACATGCAATACTGGTTTTGTTTCAAAACTGGGGCTTAAACTCAGCCTGGGTGCTATCCCTTAGCTTTTTCAAGGCAAGGCTATTTCTCTACCACATGTGTCACAGACTTTTACCTGCTTGGGCTGATTGCAAACTATGATCCTCAGATCTCAGCCTCCTGAGGAGCTATGTTACAGGCATGAGCCACTGGTGCCAGGCTACAGTACTGGCTTTGAACTCAGGCCTGCTAGCCTGATACACTACCATTTCAGCTGTACAGGCCTTTAGCACCCATAAATGTTTAAAAATATGATAGTAAGTCCACAAAGTGGACTTATCTTTGGAATTGTATATTTAGCTGCTGTTAATAATTTTAAAATTAGGTCATTTGTAGGCTCATTCATAATACTTTTGCTCATTTGTAGTTTTAATGTCATTTTTATGTAAAATGAAGCTATATAAGTACAGAACATTTTAAAATTAGTTTTGCTAAAGTCACTATGTAATTTAAACTTAGCGATCAAATTAATTTCTTTTATTCTGCAGCTTCTAATAAGGGTATCTTAACGGGGTTTGTACTAGAACTGAAAAACACTTTACAGCAGTAAAGACATACTGTAAGCTTGTTATTCTGGTGATTCTTCTTAGTGAAGAGAGAATTTTAGAAACTAAAAAATTTTGGTATGATTAATGAAGTTGTGATTTATGAAAATGAAATTTTTCACTATAAAATGGGAAATGTGTATTTTTGTGCCAGTAAAATGGGGCTTGAACTCAGGTCCTTGCATTCTTGCTTGGCTTATTTTTTTTTTGCTCAAGGCATAGATTCTGCCACTTGTGCCCCATCTGAGTATGGATCTTGATCGATAGATAATAATGTAATGGGAAAGTTAAGCCTAGTTAGGGAAGTTGTGTTTGATTTTCAAGATTGACTTTTCATCTGATAAATGGCGCCAGTCAGCTTGTTGTTACTATAGTGACGTGCCTGAGTCAGTTGCTTTATATGAAAAAGTATTTATATCAGTAGCTCAGCTTTGGAAGCCACACACTCTGGCAAGAGCTCTCTTGGCTGCATCACATCATGGTGCATCAGTCAGTGTGCAGACATCCTCTTGATCAAGCCACGAAAATTCAGTCATGGAGCCTGTACCCTAATGATCTAGTTTAATCACTTTTCAACCTGATAAGTTAAAATTGTAGCAAAGGCACAGGAAGATTTTTGTGAAAATTATGTGGATACTTTTCAGATTATATTTCTGTTTACTTTAAAATACTGACTTTGTATCAATACTAAGTTGATAGAAAGGCTTAACTTATTGGCTTAAGCTAATTAAGCTTGATAACATGAAATCTCTTAGAAATTTTGAGTAATAAAGTGGTTCATTTTGCTATTGATCATTATGTTATTTTACAAAATTATGTTCATGTTACAAATTTGTATTAGTGTTTGAGGCACCCTATAATAACAGTCTTAACTAGAAATCTTTTAATAATATATTTTATCATAATTGTTTTGCTTCTTGTGTTTAGCCTAAGGCAGTGACAACATCAGCACCAGCTACAACTCAACAATCCAGTCCTACCACTACTACTGCAGTTAGTTCCTCAACCACAACAGTTGTGGCTCAGGCTCCAACCCCTGCTCCTGCTTTGGTTCCAACTTCCACACCTGCATCTATTGCTCCAGCACCCACCACAGCATCTTCTGAACCTGCACCTGCTAGTGCAACTCAGCAAGAAACACCTGCAGAAAAGCCAGTGGAGACACCAGTGGCGACTAGCCCAACATCAACTGACAGGTAAAACAAGGACTATAGGAGATTATATCTCAAAATATGTATACAATAAAAACTTTCATGTGTTAAGTTTGATTTTTTTTTTTTTTTGGTTGGTCATGGGGCTTGAACTCTGGGCCAGGGCACTGTCCCTAAGCTCTTCAGCTCAAGGCTACTGCTCTGCCATTGAGCACAGTGCCACTTCCAGTTTTCTGCTCGTTCATTGGAGAAAAGAGTCTCATGGACTTTCCTGCCTGGACTGGCTTTCAACTGCGATCCTCAGATCTCAGCCTCCTGAAATAGCTAGGGTTAAAGGCATGAGCCACTGGCACCCAATTTGATTTTTTTTTTAATCAAACTGTCTATGATAAGTTTTTTTTGGGGTTTTTTTTTTTAGCTTACCTCTGCAAAAAACAAAAAAAAAACTAGCCTGGCGCTGGTGGCTCACACCTGTAATCCTAGCTACTCAGGAGGCTGAGATCTGAGGATTGCCGTTCAAAGCCAGCCCGGGCAGAAAAGTCCGTGAAACTCTTTATCTCCAATACACCACCAGAAAACCAGAAGTGGTGCGCTCACCTTGAGCTGAAGAGCTGAGGGACAGCGCTCAGGGCCAGAGTTCAAGCCCCACAACCACCAAAACAAAACAAAAAAAAAAAACTAAAAATATTAAAAAAAAAAAACAAAAATAAAGCAACTAAACATTGAGCTTTAGCTCAGCCATATACTTGTATCTATTTTGATAGTTAGTTTCCAAGCAACCACATTTCTACACTATTGATTTGAGAGAAACCACAATTGAAGTCATTATTTTGAGTACAAACTTTAGGAAATACAAATGAATAAAAAGAACAAGAATTAAAACCTCCTGAGTAGCTAGGTTTATAGGTATGAGCCACCCACCCATATTTGGCTAGATTATTTTAGTTGCTTGTTTTCTTTTTTAAATTAAACTGTCCCTAAGGCCATTATTTATATCTTTGGACATTTTGAGGGTAGATTTTCAGACTAGGAGTGTTAAGATAGAAAATTTTGGCTAGGTTCATAGCTCAAGTTGTAAAGCGTCTGCCTAACAAGAACAAGTCCTTAAGGGTAAACCTCAGTACCACCAAAAAATAAACACTATAGCCAGACTTTGCTTAAAGTCAGAAAATTGTAGATAATTCCTAGACAAATATAAATTGAATTTTGTTTACTCTTTTGAAATGTAATTTTTCTCAATTCCTTTCATAGTACAACAGGAGATTCTTCTCGGTCAAACCTTTTTGAAGATGCAACAAGTGCACTTGGTAAGAAACATGAATATGCTTCAGAATTATATTCACCTCTAGTTTTTGTTACAGTGTCTTGGCCTAGGTTCCTATTTTCATCTTGTTCCTTACTGGTTTCTAGCAAAAAGGCTAACTTAAAAAAAAAGTGCTTTTCTTCTCACCTCTGTCAAAATTACTCAGCATTGTTTTCACTCATTGTGACATCTCTAATACAGCTCCTGCTGACTTGATGTGTTGAGTGGTAAGCCCATTCTTGTCTTTGACATACTGGATAGAAGGCTGGAAACAAGTTCACTGGAATATGTGTTCACCCAGAAATAGTAGTTTGGGGTTGTTTCTCATGCTTAGTTTAGCTTGAACTCTTACTGCATTTTTATAACAATAGTACATACTGATAAAATGTTAAATAAGATTTCCAGTATTCCAACACTCAGACTTAATTTTTGCTGTTGAGAGACTTTCCTAGAACCCATTTGCCATGAAATCAATCTACTTCAGACACAGAGAGCCATGTTTCATCTTGGGAAATTGTTATGACGGTTTTGGAAAGGTAGGAGAAAAAGCTTGCCTAGAGACTTACGTTCTGTAACCTCAAAGACAGACCCAACTGGAAATTATCCCTATTGCTACTGAAGGTTCTGCTGCCACAATTAGAATGTGTCAGTGCTGCTGAGCAAAAGCACAGGTCTCTCTATATGTCTTGCTGCTACTGCTACTACTACTAATACTGTTTTCTTTTTACATCTTTTTTGGGGGGAGGGGGAGGGAGTCGGTCGTGGGCCTTGGGTGCTGTCCCTGAGCTCCCTGAGCCACCAGTGCCCAGCTCTTTTTACATCTTTTGTCACCTGTTCCTCCTCAACTTTGTGATCCTTGGGTCCCTTTGTTCTTTAGTTTACGTGGTGGGGGGGAGGCAGGAGGGGGTCTCTTCTTGAAACTGTTCTCTTTTTTGGCTTCTGTGACATCATTCTTCTTCCAATCTGTACCTGAGGCTTTCTGTAGTTCTTATAATTTTTCCTGACCCTACATTTGGGTGTTCTGTGGTTTTACTCTAAGCCATAATTCAGGTAAAACTTTGGGAATGACCACTTCTATAGTATGTTGTGGTGATTTCTAGTTGAAACATTACAAAGCTCTCTAAGCTCTAAGTTCCATTTGTTTACAATGCCAAGTAGAAAATCCTGTGACCTCCACAGATCTGAGGATCTCAGTTTGAAGCCAGCCATGGCAGAAAAGTCCCTGAAACTCTGTTGTTGATGGTAATGCTGGTGGTGGTTATGGGGCTTGAACTCAGAACCTGGGCGCTGTCCCAGAACCTCTTTGTGCTCAAGATTAGCACTTTACCACTTGAGCTTCAGCACTACTTCTAGCTTTTGAGTGGATAATTGGAAATAAGAGTCTTATGGTGACTGCCCTGGCTGGCTTCAAAACATGATCCTCAGAACTCAGCCTCCTGAGTAGGTAGGATTACAGACGTGAGCCACCAGCACCTGGCTTGTGAGTCTCTTTATCTCCAGTTAACCAGCAAAAAGACAAATGGTGCTGTGCATCAAGAGGTAGAGCCATGTGTACTATGGTTTGCCAGCCATTGATGGATTACTAAGATACATTGATCACATTAGTAAATCTCTTAAGTCTCAACTTCATCATCTTTCAGAGATAAAGCAAATCTTTCCTTTAAGGTTGTTACGATAACCTTAATAAGACTTACCTTGCTTAAACAGTATACTTACGATAGTCTTAAGGTCTTAAATTTGTTTCTGTTGATATCTTTGATAAGTAGGTGACAGAATGTTTTGGCAACTTGAGTGACTTTATGCTAGAATTGCATCAGTGGATAAGGAAGAATTACTAAAAAGTGTCTCATAGAATGGAAAAGAAAAGTTATATATCAGCTTATTTTTTGTTACATACAATGTAGTGCCTATGGTTGAGCATTTTATAAAGTAAAGGTAGTATATTTGGCCCACAATTTTGGAGTGTGACACTGGCATCTTCTCAGCTTTGGTCTCGTGAACACCTTGTGGAGAATGGCATCACAGTGACAGAAATGTTTCCAGGGAAGCATTCACATGGTGAGACAAGAAACTAAAATAAAATCTACTTTATTAGTTCCCAAGTAGGCCTTACCTCTTCCATTCTCATACTAACACATCAAGCCTGTTTACAACTTGGACACTTAGGGGAACAAACTACATCCACATTTAAGGTTTGTAAGCTATTCAATACTTTCTCTTTTGCAAAGTCTGTAGAGAAAAAGTACTCAACTGATAGTGCCATTAAAACTGCAAAATGACATTGTGTCTTTCTAAGCTGTACGTCATAATAAACAATATTGAAAATACAGAGAGAAACAAAGAGAAGCAGCACTTTTTAGGACATATAGACATTACCTTTCTTGCAGTAACTTTTTAATTTAGAACTAAAGGGTATGAAGGAAAAATACCTCTAAGGGGCTAGTGTGTGAAAGGGACTAGTGCAGGAAAAGGAATAGTTTACTAAGCAACTCAGAGAAGATGAATGTGGTGATTGGAAGCTCATTGAGGGTTGGAAGCCTGAAATGTCATGAGTTCTTTTTTTCTTTTTCTTTTTGCCAGTCCTGGGGCTTGAACTCAGGGCCTGGGCACTGTCCCTGAGCTTCTTTTGCTCAAGGCTAGCACTCTACCACTGGAGCCACAGTGCCACTTCCAGCTTTTTCTGTTTAGGTGATTCTGAACCTAGGGCTTTATGCATGGTAGAGAAGCACTGTATCACTAAGCCACATTCCTAGCCCCAGTGTGTTCTTTTTTAAAGTTCACTTAAATTATGGATTGTAGAGATTGCTGTAGGCTGGTTTTGCATGATTTTAGTGAAGGAAGAAGATGGGATTGGGGCATAATTTAGAGGTAGGACTACCATATACACAGCTAGATTTGGTATGGTAGGAGGGAAAAAGAAATTAATAACCAACGTTTCTGGTCCCAACACTTGGGTAGGTAGACATGCCATTTATTGAAAGGGAAAAGACAGAACAGGGGGACAAATTTGGGGGGGAATCTTTTAGAATTTGTTGAGAAATTGGTGGGATGTGGGGAAGTGGGCATAGTATGCATGGATAACTGTGTCTAGAGAGAAGAGAGCAGACTAAGGACAAGCAGAGTGATCAGCAAAGGAAGATCGGAAGTAGAGATGGAATAGGATAACCAAGACTACTTTTTTGAGGTAGCAAGAAAGATAGGTTCCAGAACACATGGAAAAGTATGTAGGGGAGAAAGCTTTCATTCAGTTAGTGTTGTCTGCTGTTTTTATCAAGAGAAAGTTAAGTCCAGATGAGAAAACTGAGAAGAGCTTCTTGGCAGTGGCTTATTAGAACACTAATATCATCCACCTTGTGTGGCTGTGAGTTCCTAACTTGTTGATTCCTAATCTTTTCCCCATCATTTTGATAGTAAAAGGTATCATAAGAAAATGGCAAATTTATTATATTGGAATTGCTTGCTTACAGTATGCTTCGTACCAATTTTCAATATTGAGCTCATTTGTCTCGTCCTAATGATTTCCTTTCCTGACTTGCTATATTTCTGTTACCTGACTTTTCTGTTTTCTTATGAAACATTACTTTTCTGCTTATACTGTAATAAATTACCACAATATAGTAGTAAGACCAACACTGATTTGTTATCTTACAGTATTATATAGGTTAGTAGTCTGATACTTGTCTCACTAGCTAATACAAAGGGGTCAGAAGGGTTGGGCATCAGTGATTCATGCCTGTGATCCTAGCTACTCAGGAGGCTGAGATCTAGACTTGAAGCTAGTATAAGCAGCAAAGTCCCTAAGACTTTTTTTTTTTGCCAGTCTTGGGGCTTGAATTCAGGGCCTGGGCACTATCTCTGAACTTCTTTTGCTCAAGGCTAGCACTCTACCACTTGAGCCACAGCATCACTTCCAGCTTTTTCTGTTTATGTAGTACTGAGGAATGGAACCCAGGGCTTCATGCATGCTAGGCAAGCAGTCTTAACACAAAACCACATTCCCAGCCCCCTCTAAGAACTCTTGTGATGAGATTGAGTCTATCCAAAAAGTTTTAGCCAAGCATTGTAAAGCTAGCTAATGATTAGCTAGTCTCAATTTCATGCAGGAGTGGGGGACTTTGTGTACTACAAGTGTCATTTGGATATTTATAATATTGAAGGACCATGTAAAATTATCATTACAGGTAGTCAGCCAAAAAGAAGCATTTGTGACTCCCTTTGTGTACAAAATGATTTCATTAGCTGGTGATTTCCTACCCTTGAACTGCCTTACTTCGTCTTGGTTGTGTAATTGTAACTTTAATTTCAGGTTTCAATGATTAAAACATGGACATCTTTGCAGAAGGCCCAGTATTCTGCTAACTAAATATGTTGCCGCTTACACTGTTACTTGTCTAGTAGTAGGTGAAACATCTTGTACATGTATATAGCCAAGAAATGTGTAAAGTGTTCATTAAATATTCTTCCCTTCTCCCCTTCAGTGACAGGTCAGTCTTATGAAAATATGGTAACTGAGATCATGTCAATGGGCTATGAAAGAGAACAAGTAATTGCAGCCCTGAGAGCCAGTTTCAACAACCCTGACAGAGCAGTGGAGTATCTTTTAATGGTGAGAAACATTTTTCTTGTTTTTTACTGTTTAAGAAACTAAGATTTTAAAGGAAGAGTTAATTCAGTGGAGAATAATAATGTATGCCACCTATTACAAAATAATTTTCCCTCTAGAATGTTACTTGAACTCTCAGGGCCTGGGCATTGATCTCAATCTTTTTGTGCTTAAGACTAGTGCTTTACTACTTGAACCAAAGCTCCACTTCAGTTTTCTGATGGTTAATTGAAGATAGGAGTCTCACGGACTTTCTTGCCTATGCTGGCTTTGAACTGCAATCCTTAGATCTCAGCCTCTTGAGTAGTGCCTAGCATGAATGTTAGCATTTTTGTTGATAAAAAGGCAACCCTTTCTTAAGTATTCAGATAGGGCTTTAGTTAGAAAACATCATGACTACACAGTTATAATTACAGTTACAGGATTGATTAGCCAGTTGGACTCAGGTGGCTCACCCATGTAATACTAGCTATTAAGGAGTCTTAGGTCTGAGCATGGTGGCTCTCTCTTTTTTTTGGTGGGGGGGGTCCAGTCCGGGCCTGGGCGCTGTCCCTCAGCTCTTCAGCTCAAGGCTAGCTTTCTACCACTTGAGCCACAGCGCCACTTCCGGCTTTTTTTTCTGCTTATGTGGTGCTGAGGAATCGAACCCAGAGCCTCAGGCATGCAAGGCAAGCGCTGTACCACTGAGCCACCTTCCCAGCCCATGGTGGCTCTCTTGAGACTATTAGCCCATGAGACTATTAAGTCCAACTACCCAGCAAAAAGCAGAAGTGAAAATTGGCTCAAGTGCCAGCCTTGGAAGGGTAGAGCTGCAAGCCCTGAGCTCAGGCCCCGGTAACATCACAAAAATATAAATTGATTAGCTAATTGGTGTGATAGCTTTTAATTTATATCTGATTAGAATTCTGCCTAAGTTTAATGCTTAGTATTGTAATCCATTCTTTAGATTTGTTTAACTTGTGGTTTGTTAGGAAGTAGAAACCATCTTTCATTCGGTTGTAATTTCTCTCAAAATCTCAGAATTTGATAAAAAAAAAAAAGATTTCAATAATTGTAGGTGAAATGTCTATAAAATGTGCATCAAAAAAGGGGGTACCAAACTCTTAGTAGAGTTTTAGTCTGTAAAAACTTGAAGAGACATGTCATAATGTACAGAAAGCATTTCTTACAGTTAAATCATTCAAGTTTCTTTTGCATGTTTTGTGAGTTTTGGAAAAGTAATTTTGTTTATAAGTAGTATTTTCTGGATGACACTTCTCAGAAACTGGATCAGTAGAGGAGGTCCTCTTGTGGTCCCTGTCCATTTGCTTTTTTTTTCTGGAAGTATTTCTAAATTGTCTTAAATTGGTCTTAAGTATAAGGTTACAAATGCAAACTTTTGTGTCACTAAGCAACAGCTGGTGAAAGTTTCCAAGTTAACAAAAATCACCTCTAACTATATGTACAAAAACCTTGGTAAGTTAAGACACAATGTAAATAATTAAGATGATGCTAGCATCATCAATCTTTATTAAACACCACAGTTAGAGAAGATTTCTATCATTATGAAGAGTTTATTGGACAGTGTGCTGCCTTGTACTGGGCGACTTCTAACTTGAATCCATGCAGAATTCTTTACTTTCCTTTGAAGTAGACAATTGTTTTCATCCTTTTAGAAATTAGAAAGGCATATTAACTAGACAGGTTTTTTTGTTAATTTTGTCTTAATGTTAAGATGTCTTAAAACTGAAATTATGTTGTAGGGAATTCCTGGAGATAGAGAAAATCAAGCTGTGGTTGACCCTCCCCAGGCAGCTAGTACTGGGACTCCGCAGTCTTCAGCTGTGGCTGCAGCTGCAGCAACGACAACAGCAACAACTACAACAAGTTCTGGAGGTAAAGTGGAGTGGTGTCTTCTGGATGGGGAGAAATAGTCCTGGATTTTTAGTGTAATCCAGTATAATTCAGCAGCTAGGCACCAGTAGCTCGTGCCTATAATCCTAGCTACTCAGGAAGTTTGAGATCTGAGTATTGCAGTTCAAAAGCAGCCCAGACAGGAAAGTCCATGAGACTCTTACCTTCAATAAACTACTTAGAAAAGGCCAGACGTGGTGCTGTAGCTCAAGTGATAGAGTGGTAGTCACTTTAGCAGTAAAGAATTATTACCAGGGGGCTGGGAAGGTGGCTCAGTGGTAGAGCGCTTGCCTGGCATGCATGAGGCCCTGGGTTTGATTCCTCAGCACCACATAAGCAAAAAAGAAAAAAGCCGGAAGTGGCGCTGTGGCTCAAGTGTTAGAGCGCTAGCCTTGAGCTGAAGACCTGAGGGACAGCGCTCAGGCCCAGAGTTCAGGCCCCACGACCGGACCCCAAAAAAAAAATTATTACCAGATCATCTGGATACCCCTTAAAATACATTTTCTATTAGAAAACAGCCTTTAAAAAATGCTACCAAGTATATGTAAAAGTATCTATGCTTATAAGCATCAGTTCTGCCAAGTTATAAGGGAATACTCAATTTTCATGTAGTATTACATTCTGAAACTATTCAAAAAGACTGTTATGTGCAATTTCAGAACCAGCAGGATAGTAGCAGTTGCTTTATCCTCAAAGAAATGAAACCCTGAGAGGTTTAAAATTGTCTATCTAAAGAAGAAAGCATAGTTTGAATTCAAGTCTCCTTATTGGTCAGTGTTCATACTTCCATTGCTATAGGTCTGACTATAGACCAATGCCTGGACTCAGGAGAGGCCCAGGAATGTTGTCTTTCATTGCATTATTTCCTAACTTATTGTTTGAATCAGTTCTGTGTTAAAAATCCCTAAGTGTACAGTTCACAAAAGAACAGACCGTTTGTTAGAGTTTTGCATGATAGTGGAAAGGAGACCACAGCTGTGGTTCCTTTGGGTTATTTTCCTTCTTATACATACATCACTTTCTAAGCAACTTAGTTTCTATGTGTCATTTTCTTCATCTACAAAACAATTGTTAAGCCAGGGCACAGGTGTCTTTTTTTTTTTTTTTTTTTATGGTTTGTAAGGCTTGAACTCAAGGCCTGGGCACTGTAGCTAAGCTCAGAGCTCACACTGCAACTTAGAGCCACAGCATCACTTCCAGTTTTCTGATGTTTAATTGGAGATACAAGTCTCACAGACTTTCCAGTTTGGGCTGGCTTTCAACTGCTATCCTCAGATCTCAACCTCATGAGTAGTTTAGGATTATAAACATAAGCCACTGGCGCCTGGCTAAGAATTCTCATTAACCATAAGTGAACTAAAAAATATTCCCTGTTAAACATAATAGTTTTGTACAGTATGTTCAAGTAATAGCACTTTTCAAAGTCTATGTCTTATTTTGCATTATTTGATTGTAAATTAATCTTAGACTAAAGAGTTAAATGTACTAAGACTGAAGTATAGTGGTAATATCCAAGAATCATTTTTATTTTCAGGTTATATTAAAACCTATTCTCTCAAGCCATAACTATGTCTTTCTTTCACATTGTTTTGTTTACTATGTCACAAGAAATGATGTTCATACTCTGTTCTTTGAAGAATATTGGTTTTATGGTAATGTGTAACCTAATCACATATTGGTCAGCAGCGGCCCTATCTCATTATATTGCCTGTTGATATAATAGCCATCTTAATATGCAAAAGTAGTTCCTGTGATATTCACAGCACAGGATATATTCGCAGCCTGACAGGATGTATCCCTGTCCTCAAACACATCACCAGATTACAAAATGAATTGGTTTGTTTTTCTTTTTGAATGTATTCAGAGGAACTTTGGAACAACTAGAATAACTTGGAGTACCTTTTATTTTGATAGAATATATTCAGGGCACAAGTTTTTACTAAAAGTATTTTTTGGTAATATACCCAGGCCAGTCATAGGGAAGCTTGGTTTTAAGTTCTAGGCTTCTCTATGCTTTTGCTAAAAGAAATGAGTTACTTTTTCTGCAGTATAAGATTTGCAATATGGTACAATCTGGAGGTGTATCATTTATACCATTTTATTGCATCAAAGAACTCAGCTAGTTTTCTACTTGGTATTTATTGTCTAAAAGTATGATTTAGCCAGCTCTTTATTATATATATTTGCTGTTTTTATTTTCAAATGTTTGTCTGCATTTCAGGACATCCTCTTGAATTTTTACGGAATCAACCTCAGTTTCAGCAGATGCGACAAATTATTCAACAGAATCCTTCCTTGCTTCCAGCATTGCTACAACAGATAGGTCGAGAGAATCCTCAATTACTTCAGGTGATCAATTAATTTGGGAAAATGTTGTATTTGGAAAATGGGGTTGGAATATATCGTTATTCCCTCCTCCGCACCTCCCCAAGTTCTGAGGCCTCATGCTTGGTAGGCAAGTGCTGGCTTTATGTATGCTAGGTACTCTGGGCTTCATGTGTGGCATTCGTATGTGTTACTGCTTAACACAAAATGAATTACATTTGGAAAAAAATAATATCCCTCTTCCTGTTTGAGAGTAGTACAAGAATAGTAGGCTCTAGATAGTTGTACTGAGTATAAAAGTTGGGTTTGTTTAAACTAGTTCAGGGTTAAGTTCTATTTCTATGTATAGTCCCTGAGTGTTTTTTAACATTAACTTGAAGGGTTAGAAATTTATGAAAGAATTTGTATTTTCACTTCTCTCAAAACAACTGAAATTCTTTACTAATATTACAGAAAATAACTAAAATATTACAGTTGCAAAGTTTCAGCTTTTTCTCTTGTATTTAGAATTGCTGTTTGCTTGATGGCAGTATCAGTATATTTGTTTTCCTTTGTTTTTCAAATCACCACAGCAAATTAGCCAACACCAGGAGCATTTTATTCAGATGCTAAATGAGCCAGTTCAAGAAGCTGGTGGTCAAGGCGGAGGAGGTAGCAGTGGAGGTAGTGGAGGTGTCACTGGAGGAGGCACTGCAGGCATGACAGAATCTGGAAGTGGGCACATGAACTACATACAAGTAACACCTCAGGAAAAAGAAGCAATAGAACGGGTAAGCTCAAGTAAAACTAAAAGTTCAGTTCTTTTATCGCAATAGTAACATTTCACATGCTCAGCTGACGTGTGCTACTGTTGGTAGAACAGATTGGAGTACTTCCATTCACTGGAGGGAGTTCTTTACACAGAGCCAAATAGAACCCTTACCTTAGGAATTGTACCCTCTTATCTCTGCCCACCCTCCCCCCCAATACAATGAAATCCCTTCCTTTCATAAAGCAAATACAAAGTTTCAAGAAAAGAATCTTAAGACCTATACCTAATTCTGAATTACATTATTTGAAATTTTACTTCATTTTACTCCAGTTGATAAGAATTGTGTACAATAAAAATCAGATTTTCACCATCCTGGTTCTTTTTTTTTTTTTGCCTGTCATGGGGCTTGAACTCGGCCCTCGCCACTGTCTTTGAGCTGCTTTGGCTTAAGGCTAGTGCTCTACAACTTGAGCCACAGCGCCACTTCAGGCCTTTTCTGTTTCTGTGGTGCTGAGGAATAGAACCCAGGGCTTCATGCATGCGTGGCAAGCACTCTACCGAGCCACATTCCCAGCTCCTGGTTCTCTTTTTTTATCCTTATTAGTTGGTTAACTAATGCAGGTTGAGGCACCAAAGCAACCTAATTGTTCTACTGCAATGTGTCGCTCAATTTCTCTCTACTTTTAAACATTTGTAAACAGGGAATTAAAGTATTTTGCCTTATAAAATATTTTTAGATGGAAATCTGATAATACATTTTAAAACTGGATGCCGGTAGCTCACACCTGAAATCCTAGCTATTCAGAAGACTGAGATCTGAGAGTTACAGTTTGAAGCTGCTCATGAGACTCTTATCTCCAGTTAACCATCAAAAGATCATAAGTGGAGCTGAGACTCATGTGGTAAGGTGCCATCCTTGAGCAAAAAAGCTAAGGTACCGTACCAGTCCAAGCCTTGGTCCTGGCACAAAAAGAAAAAAAATAAGACTTGCCCCAGTTATTTAATGGCAACACTTTTTCTTTTGAGGTTAGGGTTATTGGATTTCAGTTTCTTTGCTGGAGATAGTATTTTCTGACTTTACATGACAATTTGTCATATCTAAGAGAAAATGGACATGGTAAGGTGGTTTACTCCTATGTTTTCTCTACAGAATATATAGCTTTCATATATATGTATAGGTCTGGTCAATTTTGTTTCTTTGAGTGTATGATATGAATTGTGGAAATCTGTTCTTTGCTTTTCCATTTAACGCAGCACCTTTTGTTTGAAAAGACTTGTTAATCAACTATATTGGTTTTTGTCAGTGTCAATTGACCATATATATGAAGGGTTTTTTAATTCTCAGTTCTAACCCATTGGTCTTATATGTATGTGGCTTTCTAGTAAATCTTAAAATTAGAAGGATTTCAGTTGTATTGGTTATTCAGAATCCTTGCATTTCCGATTAAATTTAAGGTCAGCTTGACAATTTCATGGAGGGCGAGGTTGTAGTATAGATGGGATTGTGCTTATCTTGGAGATGAATTGGGAGAGTATTGCCATCTTACAATTTTTTATGTGGCCCAGGCTGGTCTCACATGGAAGATTCTCCTGCCTCACCCTCCAGAGTGCTGGGATAACAGGCATCTGCCACCATGCCTGGGTGTGGGCATGCTATACCACATAATGAATGTAATCTCAGGATTCAGGAGGATTGAGACCAGCTGTGTTACTTAGGGAGGCACTGTCACATTTGAGATTTTATTTGTATGTTTGCCTGTACTAAAGCTTGAACTTGGCCTCTTGCTCTTACTTAACTTTTTCCATTCAAGAGGTTGTTTTCCCACTTAAGTAATACTTCCACTTCTAGCTTTTTGCTGGTTAATTGAAGCTAACACTCTTAGATTTGTCTGCCCAGGCTGCCTCAGATCTGAGCCTCCTGAGTAGCTAGGGTTACAGGCATGAGCCACCAGCACATGACATGTTTTACATGACATGTTAGGGGCTAGGCGCTGGTGGTTCATGCCTGTGAGTGATCTGAGGATCGCGGGTCAAAACCAGCCTGGGCAGGAAGGTCCATAAGACTCTTATCTCCAATTAACCACCAGAAAAAGGAAGTGAGCTGAGGCTCAAAGTGGTAGCCTTGAGCAAAAGAACTCACAGACAGTGTCCAAGCCCTAAGTTCAAGCCCCTTTACTAGCAAGATAAAATAGTGTTTGTTAGGCACCAGTGGTTCAGGTCAGGCCTGTAATTCTAGTGACTCAAGAGTATCAGATTTTAGGATTGGGGTTCAAAGCCATCCTCTATAGGAAAGGCCATAAGACTCTTTATCTCCAATTACCAAAAAAGCCAGAAGTGGGGCTGTGATTCAAGTGGTAGAGCACTAGCCTGGACAAAAATGCTCAAGGACGGTACCTAGGTCCTGAGTTCAAACTCTAAGAACAATACCAAAAATGTTTTATTATTGACTGATTTTTTTTTTGGGGGGGGAGGGTCCGTCATGGGGCTTGAACTGTGGGCCTGTGCCCTGTCCCTCACTCTTCAACTCAAGGCTAGCACTCTTGGGCCACAGTGCCACTTCCAGTTTTCTGGTGGTTTATTGGAGATAGAATTTCACAGCTTTTCCTGCCCGAGCTGGCTTTGAACTGCAATCCTCAGATCTCAGCCTCTGGAGTAGCCAGGATTATAGGCGTGAGCCACCAACCCCCCCCTCAAAAATAACTTAAATTTTTTTTAATTTAATTTTATTTGTGAACATACTATACAGAGGGATAACTTAAAATTTTAATGGGTTTTTTTAGTCTCATATTTCTTAATTTTTTTGTTTTTTTTCATGTTCATAAGTAGTTTCTTTAATAAAGTTTATCATATTTTTCTTCCTTGAATGTATTTTCTATTATAACATCGTATATATGTAACAACAAATTTTATGGTGGTTTGAAACAACACTTATCTCATAGCTTCATAGCTGCAAAACTTTAGGTGATTCTAAGCCTCAAGGCTGCAGTCAAGGGGTTTACTGGGATATATTCTAAGCTCTGGATTTTCATACATGTTCTTTCAAGTCTAACAAAATTCAGCCCCTTGGAACTTTAGAAATCATTTTTGTTTTTACCTTCTTTAAAGCAAGTAGGAGAAAATTTCTCTTGCTTTGCATCACTGAATTCATTTGTCCCTACTAGAGAATAAAATATCTTTTTGTTGTTGTTGTTGTTGGTTTTTGGGGTCCGGTCATGGGGCCTGAACTCTGGGCCTTGGTGCTATCCCTCAGCTCTTCAGCTCAAGGCTAGCGCTCTAACACTTGACCCACAGCGCCACTTCTGACTTTTTTCTTTTTGCTTATGTGGTGCTGAGGAATCGAACCCAGGGCCTCAGGCATGCAAGGCAAGCGCTCTACCACTGAGCCACCTTCCCAGCCCATTGGTATTAATTTTTATCTATTTGTGAATTGCCCATATTTTCCTCTGTTGATTACTCAGTTTATTCCATTGTGATCATAAAGCATTAATTTCTGTCCTTTTGAAGTTCCTGAGTTTTGTTCTATAGCCTAACATGGTCTTTTTCTGAAATATGTTCTAGAAATATTTGAGAAGAATGTAACCTGTCTGTCAATATCTGTTAGGTATATTTGTTTATTAGTGTTATTCAAATATTTAATTTCCATTTTGGTCCCCTTGCTAATTTTGTTTATTGAAACTGAAGGTATTTAAGTCCTCAATTACTATTGAATTATGCTAGCATTTTTGTTTCATGTGTTTGGGGATTCTGTTGTTACATATGTTTATAATTGTTTTAATTTTTTTTTTTTTGGTCAGTCGTGGGGCTTGAACTCTGGGCCTGGGCGCTGTCCCTCAGCTCTTCAGCTCAAGGCGAGCGCTCTACCACTTGAGCTATAGCGCCACTTCCACATGTGTTTATAATTGTATCTACTGTATTCCCCTTTTTACTCATAACATATCCTTTGTAGTAGTAATTTTAAAAATATTTTGCCTGATGTAGCTACTTTCTGTTGGTTATTATATTTGTGTGATAAATACCTTTTTCCTTACATATTTATTTTTTGAATCTCAAATATATGTCTCATAAAAGCATATAAGTGAATTGTGCCCCATCTGTTGGTCTTTTGCTTCAGCTATCCCAGCTTCAATATGGGCAAGATTTGTGCCTTAGACTTAATCTCATGCTACATTGGAATTTTTTTCTAGTTAGATTTTTTCCCCCAAGATTAGGACTCACTCAGAATCTGACACTTGTTATTGGCTGGTGCTGTACCATATGAGCCAAAAATCAACCCTAGTAAATTTTTTTTGCCAGTCCTGGGTCTTGAACTCAGAGCCCGGGCACTGTCCCTGAGCTTTTTTTTGCTCAAGGCTAGCACTCTACCACTTGAACCACAACACCATTTCTGGCCTTTTCTGTTTATGTGGTACTGAGGAATCAAACCCAGGGCCTCATGCATGCAAGGCAAGCACTCTACCACTAAGCCACATTCCTGATCTCCTAGTAATTTTTGGGAGGGTGTGAGGGGGTCTGGTTGTGGGCCCTGAACTCTAGGCCTTGGGCGCTGTCCCTCAGCCCTTCAACTCAAGGCTAGCGCTCTAACACTTGAGCCACAGTGCCACTTCCAGCTTTTTTCTTTTTGCTTATGTAGTGCTAAGGAATCGAACCCAGGGCCTCATGCATGCAAGGCAAGCGCTGTACCACTGAGCCACTTTCCCAGCCCCTCCTAGTAATTTTTAATCTACTCTTACCACAAGGTGATTGAGACAGTTGAGGAAGATGTTTACAAATGCAGTACAGAATAGGCTTATGAGATAAATTAGCTGATAACTCCATTTAAAAATAAATGTCTAAAACGAGATACCATGTTTCTTGATTTCAAAAGATAGCATGATTCTGATAATCACTTATTAGATTTTTAGTATTGTTTAGAATAAATTGAGAATATTTAATCCAAATGTAAGATGTGGGTTAACCATAATCACCAGTATGGAATCTGAACCCTTTTCTAGATTCCTTATATCCTTATCATTGTTGTTTGTGCCAGTCTTGGTGTTTGAACTCAGCCTGGGCACTGTCCTTGAGCCTTTTTGTTCTAGGCTAACACTTCAACCCTTGAGCCACAGATCCACATCCAGCTTTTTGGTGATTGATTGGAAATGAGCCTTGTGGACTTTCCTGCCTAATCAGGCTTCAAACCGGGATCCTCAGATCTCAGCTTCCTGATTAGCTAGGATTACAGGCGTGAGCCACCAGCACCCAGCTTCTATAGGGCTTTTTAAACCAGAGCAGCAGCTACTAATTCATAGTGTGGATACCACAAAGTTATTGCAGATTACCTATTAAACCAATAGCTTTAACAGTCACAAAAAGGTTCCATCTCCCTCCTAGCATAGGACAGTAAATCCAAATTCATGTAAGGACTGCATTCATTGTAGCATTTTCAGGAGCGTATTTTTTTTTCATTTTTTTAATTGTGAAAATACTGTACAGAGGGGTTACAATTACATGGGCAAGATAATGAGTACATTTCTTATCAAGCATTGTAGCCTCCTCCTTTGTTTCCCCTTCCCATCCACCCTCCACCCCCCACCAAATCCTCCTCCCCCCCCACCACCAAAGTTGTAAAGTTCGTTTTCAACATAATGACTTGTACATCTCATTGTTGCAATGGGTCCACCTGTATCCCTATTTAAATGATTTGGTTTTTTCCCTTCCCTTCCACAAATTATACCAACATCAAATACAGTGAAAGCAGGGGTTATACAGTGAGGGAGGGACATACAAAGCAACAAAGAAATCATCTTATAAATGTATTAGAAACAATCACATGAAATTAAAAAACATTTGAATACATATCTTAGGGTTCATTTCCCTAACATCAACTTATCTGACCTTTTCTGCTTGACTCAGATATTTACTAGTATTGCAAATAAGGGAAACCATGGGACCTATGTTTCTTTGGGCCTGGCTTATTTCACTTAAAAGAATTTTTTCTGATTCTTTCCATTTCCTAACAAATGAGGCAATGTCATTCTTTCTGATGGAAGCATAGAATTTCAGGAGCATATTTTTATGTGCTGTATATTTCAAGTGATGATTTCAGTAGTGGTACACTGGAGTTTCTGATATGTGAGAATGTTGAATTTCCTGTTACTGATGTGTTTTTTAATTTTATTGTTGTCTTTTGCAGTTAAAGGCATTAGGATTTCCTGAAGGACTTGTGATACAAGCTTATTTTGCTTGTGAGAAGAATGAGAATTTGGCTGCCAATTTTCTTCTACAACAGAACTTTGATGAAGATTAAAAGGGACTTTTTTGTATCTCACACTTCACACCAGTGCATTACACTAACTTTGTTCACTGGATTGTCTGGGATGACTTGGGTTCATATCCACAATGCTTGGTATATGGTAGTAGGTTGTTGGGGGTGGGGAGGGAGGGCTAGGACATAGGTCAGGGATAAATACAGTGCATGTCTGCTTCAATTAGCAGATGCCGCAAATCCACACAGTGTGTAAAATATACAACCAAAAGAAAAAAATCAGCTTTTGCAGGTCTTTATTTCTTCTAAACAGTAGGTAACTTTTCCTAGGTTTCAATCTTTTTAGTGTACTAGATCAGAAATTTAGTGTAATGCTCTGCTTTAATTTCTTTGGCTTACTGTTGGTTTCCAGAAGAATCTTTGCTACCTAGAATTTACAGTATATTTCATGGCAACACTGGATAATGGCTTTTTGAAATTGAAAAAAAAATTTTGGAGCAACTGTAAACAGAAATGCCAAATTATTGATGGTTATTGTTGCTGCTTCATATAGGTATAAAATTAATGCATAAGGAAGCCCATTCTTTCATGTTAAATACTTAAGGTGGGGGAGGGGAGAAAGGGAACTTTTTCTTAAAATGAAAATAATTACTGCTATTTTAAAATTTCCTGATGATTGAATGTGAGACCCTTTTAACATGATTTGAGAAGCTGTACAAGTATAGGCAAGTTATTTTCCTGTTTACATTTTTTTTTGTTTGTTTGGGGGAAAATTGGTAGGTGTCTAATGACTGTTTACTTCATTGTTATATTGCAGTAAAAGATTTGAAACAACCATTGCATGTTTGCTTTTGATGTAACCCTTTGTGAAATTAGCACTTTTGGGGCCAATGAAGAAATGCAGCGTTCACTCTCTTTCTCTCTGCCTTTCCTCAGCAGAAATGTATTAGCAAGCTGTGAGTCAAACTGCTGCCTTTAAAGAAAAAATTCACAAAACATTGATTTCAAAATTAAAGCAAATGTTCCAAAACTGGGTCTCCAATATTTGTAAAAGTTTTTTTTTCCTCTCTTAAATAAGAATATGTTACCATTAAAAGTCATTAGTATTACATTGCTTTCAAAACGATATAACATATCTTAATGCATTGAGACTTCTAGAAGAGATGGGAAAAATGGCTGGAAAGGTTCTTTGGAAAATATATAATCAAGATATTTCATGGCATATTAAAAAGGAATATCTTAACAGTGTTGACCTTTATTTGGATTTTTTTCATAGTTTTTTTTTTGTTGTTAGAACCTCCTTCATTGGAATTATTTGATCATAAAGAGAAGGGGTGGATATCTACCTGTTCCATTTACCAAATCAGTTTTCCTGGATGTAATCGAGACTATTTAAAGAAACAATATTTTTTTCTACCATCTGGTACTAAGAATATGAATTTGTACAGATTTCTCTGTGTAATCTCTTGCAATGTCCTTGGCACAGTTTGATGATGATGACTCCTAAGCTTTTTCATCATGCACTCATAATCTGTCTCATAAAAATAAATGAAACCGTGATTTTTCCTTCACAATGTACCATGTCTAATTTCCATGTGTTCCACCAATTGATAGATGTTCGGACTTTGTATTACCTGTATGTTTTATAATGGATCATGCATAATGTCTCAGGAGAATAAAATGAGGATTGTTAAGTATATCTTTCAAGGCAGAGCAAGGAGTTGGGAAGAGGGAGTGACATTTCAGGTCTGATAATGGAATATTCTCATTTATGACATCCTACTTGCTACCTTACTGCTCAGAACATAGTGAAAACTGGAAATGGAGGGAGAAAGTAGAAACATTGCTCCTTTTTTCTGGAAAGTGGCAACACAAGTTGATGGCATGGAGCTTTTATTCTTGGACAGCAAAACTGCAGTAGTAGGATGGATAATTATCAGAAGACAGCTCAGGCCAAGTTTTGACCATTCTTTCATCTTACCTTGTTATCTGCTTAAAGGATTTGAGACACCATAAATGGAATGGGCTTCTGTGCCTTTTGCTGTTATTGTTTAAGTTACAAATAGTTCTGGTACATCTCTTAATGTAAGTGGCTATTTGACTTTGAAATTTTGCATTTGAGCTATACTGTCGTCTATATCTTGAATATTTTTGTTTAGCTGCTCTAGAAAATGAGGAAGCCTGAATTTATATTTGTATAATTCTTTACCACCTCTAGTTAAATATTTCCTTTCATTGTTTAAAAATAATTGACGTGTTCCACCATATACTTTTTTCATGTACTAGATGGTTAGGATTCTAGAGAATTGATTATAAAATATTTTCAATACATCCAACATTGCATTTCTCATTTTTTTATATTCTCTCACGTAGACTCTTAGATTAAAAGATGGCAATGCCTCTCACTGATACTTCTTCAGTAATTGGTGAATATAACATTTCAAAGGACAGGCATTAAATCGATTCTATTGGGTCTCCTGTGTTTTCAGTCAACACAAAGATGAGTTGGATTCTTGGTGGGATGTGAGTCATGGATCATGAAGGTTGTTAGATAAAAGTAGAATCCTTATTTTCTTGTATTTGTCTTGCAGCACCTACCCCACTGCTAGAAAACATTTCAAAGAGTACTTGGCCACATCTACAGTGGTGGCTGTCCTTACTTGAGGTTTGAGTACATGTCCTTTCAGTGTCCTCCCCTGTCCTTTGTTCATTTCATTCTATACTTGGGCAACTGAGGAGTGAGTGTATGACAAGTGATTGGAAAGAGCCTTGCCTATCAAGGTGTAGCAAGATTTGCATAGCAGTGGTCTTAAGTAGGATTTGCCAGGGAGAGGGGGCTGAGAAGACATTTGCTCCTCGTGTGGACTGCTATAGAGCAGTGAAATGCTGTAACTGAGGCCATTTTAATAGTAATGGGTCCTTTAATAGTATGATCCAGGGCAATTGCTTTCAGGAGCACAAGTTAAGAAGCAGTCAATTCAAAAACTTCAGCTTTTTACTGGTTGGTTGAACAGACTTATGCCCCCACTGGCTTCAAACCACAGTCCTCAGATCTCATCCTTCTGAGGTGCTAGGATTACAACATGAACCATTAGTGCCCAATTTTCTTTTCTCTCCTCCCCTCCCACCCCCACACGTTCTCCCCCTCTTGTCAGTGGAGGGAGCTCGGCCTGGGTTGCAACCGTGAGTTTTTGCCACTAAAGCTCTATCACAGATCCACTTCTGGTTTTCTGGTGGTCAATTGGAGATAAGAGTCACAGACTTACCTGCCCAGGTTGGCTTTGAACTGTGATCCTCAGATCTCAGCCTCCTGAGTAGCTAGGATTATGGGGTTTGAGCCACTGGTGCCCAACAACTTTTAAAAGAAGGTCCTAGAGGGGGGAAAGTTGGAGAGTTGCTGTGGTAGTGGTTATATGTTCCTTTTTGGACTTGATCATTTTCCTGGAAAACTGCTTGGGAGGGTCATGTTGGAGACCTAGTTGGAAGACAATTGAGAGATCCTTCTGCTTATCAGCAGAAAACACTAAGCTTTCATTCTTTATAAACTGGCTCCAATGGACACCTTCAGCCTAGTCCTGGCCACAAGGCTTGGGAAGAGGGAGGGCACATCTGAAAGTAAAAAAAAAAAAAAATTACAAACCTAAATAAAGAGAAAACCACAGGGTGGAAGAGCTGTGTACCTTGACAACGCCCCCTTGTGGCAAGTAGGAAGCCAAGCCGAGCTTCCAGTGCAGGAAATTGGGGAAGGTTCTTAAGACACTGAACTGAGGTACTAGCTTACTGAGGGGAAGGAGAGATGGTGGTCTACGGACCCAGCCCAAAGCAGCCTTTTGATCCTGACTCCACAGAGGAGGAGAAGAAAAGAAGGCACTGGTCCTTGAAAGCTGCAGATCACTTTGCCTACATCGAATTTCATGTTTAAACCCTAAGAGCTGATTGGCAGAGCAAGAAACAGATGAGCTGTGTGCCTCACTTCTCATAACTGACCACGGCTGGGAGAGGATGGACGCTCACACCTGGCTCCTGCCCCCCCCCCCCAGGATCTCTCTAAGTTGTTAAGGAGTACAATTCTCTTCAGGTCCCAGGGGTATTCTTGGACCTTTGTCCTAAGACAAGTCTGGAAGGGAGAGAGTTCCCCCAAAGGGCTGATAGGATTTGTGGTCAGTTGAGTTGCTTTTCTCCTTCAGCTTGTTTCTTGTGCTGGGCAGAAACTTTTCAATCGGATGCAATCATTTTTTTCTGTTTTTTTGGTACTGAGGCTTGAACTTGGGGTCTTGAGCTTACACCATAGCTAGTGCCTACCACTTGAGTCACACCTCTATTTCTAGGTTTTGTTTATTTATTTATGTTTTGGGGTCCGGTCATGGGGCCTGAACTCTGGGCCTGGGTGCTGTCCCTCAGCTCTTCAGTTCAAGGCTAGCGCTCTACCACTTGGGCCACAGCGCCACTTCCGGCTTTTTTCTTTTTGCTTATGCGGTGCTGAGGAATCGAACCCAGGGCCTCAGGCATGCAAGGCAAGTGCTCTACCACTGAGCCACCTTCCCAGCCCCCTATTTCTTGGTTTTGATAGTTAATTGGAGATGAGTCTCTTGAACTTGCCTGGCTTGGAATCTTGATCTTCAGATTCCAGCCTCCTGCAGGTGTGAGCCACTAGTGCCCAACAATCAAGTTAACATTTTTAGGACCATTAGAGATTTTCAGAAAGTTGCACAGAGAATAATACAGACTTCTTGTGCACTCAGTTTCTCCTAAAAGCAACACCTTCGATAACCTTGATCCATTTATCACAACTACGAAGCTAACATTGGTATGTTACTTTTTTTATCTTTAAGTTACACAAAAGGGACTCAATTCAACAAATTAGTTTAAAAGTACAATGAACCTTGGTCAATATCATCCTTACCATTATTCACCATATGATAAATCACTTCATTAAACCATCTTTTACTCTTTGAAAGTCAAATGTGAGATCCGGGTTCCCATTTGGCATCCGGAGTTTTTGACTCTTGGGTGCAAACTGTTCACCTCTCTTCTTTGGTTCCACTGTTCTCACAAGGGCTTGCCCATCCACTGTCCCAGGTGAGTGTAGGCAGCCTGCTGACTAGGTCACTGTTGAAGCTGAGAGTGACTGAGAGGACTCAGCCTGAGCCAGGAGTGTACTTGTGTTTGTGTGCCCTGTGGGGCCGCTACTGTGTACCTGGGGACAGTGGGACAGATCTTAGCTGCCTGAGCTCTCCAGGAGCTTGCCAGCCAACAGCCTCTTCTACCTATCCGTCTTCACTCACAGCCCTGTTTCAACTTGAAGCAAAAAGAAAGCTAAGTAGGGGGTCCCCATTATCCCACACACCCCCAGCCTCCACTCAGATCTGAGTCCTGAGTCCTGGATGTTCATGCTGCGCTGCTGCTGCTGCTGCTGCTGCTGCTGCTGTGG